TTTTTTTCCTTTTTCTGATTAGCTTTGTGTTTGGTTTACATTTAAAGCATTGCTGTTATGTCTGTTTAAGAAAAGTATTTTGAAGTTTACATTTTTATTTATGAAGTTAAAAACAGTATTTATTTTGTAATTATGATTTGGGTTGGGGAAGGGGGGGCTACATTATAAACGCTTATTGTAAGAATACTGGAGAACTTTTCGTAAAGCAGTACCTTGCCAAAGAGATAAGAGCCTCTTTGATGTGGGTTTAAAAAAAGCATCTATTTTTATAAAAAAGAAAATTTGGAGAAACTTTTTACTGGTCCTGGAACAAATATTTTAACTTGAATACTTTGAGAAATCTCTTCATATGACACCTAGTGAGCTTTTAAAATTTACCAGGAAATTTGCAGCGGTTGGAAAATTTAGAAAGATTTATGATGTAGAAAATACTTTTGAGATCTTTGTATGAGAGGAATAGAATCAATGGGGGAAACACTGCTGGTTTCGTTTTTGTAATCACCAGTGGAGCGTCTGATCATCCTGGTTATTATGTGATAGGTGGCTCACATTGATTTGTGATTTTGAAACAAATAAAAAAAATTTACAAAAGAATATATAAGAGCAGGCAAGAAATTTAAATTACCAAGAGATGGGGGAAAAAAAAATCTGTTCTTCCTAAAGAAATCCCTTCAGATAGAGCTCATGGTGTTTAGTGATGTACTTGCAGTATTGTTTGAAGAATTGTTTTGTCTTAAGGAAAAAGACGTTGCACATGACTTGTACTGCAGCAAATCAGCAAAAGTGATCTGAGTTGTATATTTGAAGGTATTTTGAAAGTTACGTTCAAGGCTAACACCTGAGCTTTGTGTAATGTAAATAAGACCTTGTGTTTATGAACCGTTCAGCTAATTTGATTTTTTTTTCCTTACATGCCAAGTGATGTTCAGGTTTTGAATGTTTTTGTATCAGTTTTTTCCTTTGTAAATGGCATTAACATTGTTACTTGAGGTCTTGCTTAATCACTTTTGTTGTCCTGAGGACTTGAATTTACAGTGCATCAGATTCGTTGCTAATTTTGTCTGTAGATAGTCTAGCTTCAGCTGTTTATGGTGATGCTACATTTTTGTTTATAAATATGTTTGTGGTAAAAAGAAAAATGAGTATAACCATAGGTTTTGAACAAATTTCCTTACATTTTTCATACAAAATCATAAATATCTGTATGCTATTGAAATTTAACTTTGTATGATGCTTAAACCACTATTTGGGGAAATAATAAAATAAGTCTTTACCATGTATGAAAGAAATTTTAAAAAATACAAAATATTTTCTGATTAGCATCTAGCTTATAATAAATTTTCAAAAAAGCTGAAGGCAAAAACTGCCTTCATCAGGATGCACTGAGAACTATATAGTTACGTCCTGCTTTTTGTATAAACTGAGATGCTCACGTGCTTCCCCTTAGAACAGGCAATGTGCTATGCATAACATAGTTGTACATTATCTTTGCGGTTGCTTTGAGTTTTATTTTTTATTATTTAAAACTGTAGTTATAAAATTTTTCAGTATAGTACAGTACATATACTGTGAGGCGCGTGCTAAAGTGAATAAGCGAGTTTTCATGCTGACCCACTCAATGCTATTCAGAAATCAATTGGCTTAGCACTTTCTCATATCCTTAGGTGCATTTAGATTGTCCGAGTTAACCTTCTGCGTTTAAAAAAAAAAAAAAAACACTAAAAAATAAAATACGTGTATATACTTAAAAAAAATTAATAAGGTTTCCCTCAGGGGAAAACAGCAGCTACATGCTTCTTTCCTATACTACTGTAGCAAACCAAGGCATTGATGAGAAGGCATGCAAATTGTGCTTCACTTTACAGTGTTTATCAGAGCACTTAATAAAATGTAAGGCTGGTATTTATTTGAAGTTGTACAGTATGACTTAATTCACATCTGTTGGAATAGAAAATATATTCTGTTGAGTATTTAAGAGGCTGTACATGTTTTCTTTTGTGTTTGGATTCTTTGTACTTTTTCATGTTCAGTACATCAATAAACAAAGTTGAAGGGAAAGAACAGTGTGGCGAGTAGGTCTTTGTACACATTTTGGGGGCTCCTGTGCTCAGTGCAATAAACAAGACTTGCTCTCTTGAGTTCAGAGGTTCCCTCAGAGCTTTAGTTGAAAGCGTTAAGAATTCCAAAAGGCAAGTGCATTGCAGTGGAACATGCAAACATTTTTTGACTGAATGACACCTTCTGATTAGTTTTCAATTTTCACTAGATTGGTAATTCTCATAGGAGCACGTGCCTTCTTTCATCTGCTAGTTGTAAAAGATTGGGAAGTTGAATGCTGACGTCATTCCGTGGCTCTGACTTAACCTTCAACCTTTTGCACAAACGGGGATTGCCCTCCCACATTTACTTGAGCTAAAGGAAAGCCAAATCGAAGGAAGGTAACTTACTTTGCTTTCATTGGTAAGCACAGTTCACTCATTTAATTCACCCACAGGATTAAGTGCTGATGTGAAACAGTTCTCTTGCACAAGTGCTATATTGTCAAGAGGACTCGTCTCTAAAATCCGAAACTCAGTTTCTGTTAGGTTAGGGCTGGTGTGTGCTGCTCATACTACAGTCCTGAACCGTGGCAGCAGCATGTGGTGTGTGTCACATACATGATTAAATTTATGATACATCCTTAATATCGGCGGAGGGAAACATTTCTTGCTGCAAGGATTTTACTCGTATAGAATGAAAGAAAAGAAAATATAATAATGAAACAAAGCATACTAAAATGATTTTTTAAAACAAAGCATACTAAAATGATTTCTTTTTATTTTTTCTGTCGGCTTTTTTGGTAAAGCCATTCTAAAAGGAATTGTCCTGAACTCACAACCTCGTAGTCAAGAGCGTAGTTGAATGACAAGATGCTTCTAATTTTAACATGCAATTAATCTCAAGTCTCCATACTCCCTTTCTTATTATATGAATTTAATACTCTAATTTTGTGACTTTGGAGCATCCTCCCCTCACGTCTCTCCTCTTGCATGCTCTATCAGTATTTTGACTGGTTGCATGTCAGCAATTCTTTTATAATTCAGCAGATAGTGGAAAAATTCTCAGTAAAGGTTAGTGTAGGAACTACTGGTGTAATTGAGGGGAAATTTCATTTTTCTCCCTCAGAATCCTTTTTCACCTACGCTTACACATCATCTGAACAATATCAAAATTCAGTGTTAGAGTGGCCAACATGAATTCATAATCTGAACATCATTTTACATTATTTTAATCTGATTTGAGGAAAAGCGGTAGCAATTTAACCTTCCTTTTGAAAAAGACGGCAAGATTTGCACCCTTTATAAGAGGATCAAAAAGAAAGTGGAGTGGAGATTAGCAACTACTGGTTTATAGGGTTAGCAAAAAAAATGTATGTACACGTATTCTAACGATACATATATTGAAATTTTGATGTCTGAGTCTCTATGAATATACTTTCAGAATAATATGCATATGCCTTTTATTGAGTAGGAAAAAGGCAGTGGTTTTCTTCTTTATGCCTCTATTATCATATTAGAAGCTCACAGCGGGAGGAAACAGATACTGCTAATATCATACATACTTGTTATTAGATGAAGAGATTTGCAGTCTGTCACTGCAACAAATAGCCCATATTTCTCTACTTGCTATATCCTTTACATTCTTCCTCTGAAAATTACCTTCAGATGGGAAGGATTCAACATCTGTACCATTAACATAGCTAGGCTTTAATATAGGATGGACCTTACTGAAATTAACCTTTCCAGAATTCTGGTTCATAAACATAAATGGAAGGATTTTTTTCTTGATCATCAGAATGTTATCTACTATGCTGTTCTCTGGGTGTACAAAAATGAGCAGGATATGGCTCTTACCACCTTCTCACATAGAAGGGAGGACAAATGAGCCACCAGACCAAGATTGCAGTGTCCTGTATTCTAAGAGAGTCTAAAGCAATCATCAAATTAATTTGCTATAGTTTTGATGAACCTCATTACAACTCACAAAAGTGATTCTGTTCTGCTATTCTTGTAGAATCATTTCTTTTTTTGTATTATTAGCTGATTTTCAATCTGACATCGGTATCATTTAGTTTCACCAATCCTCAGATGTTCTCATAGTCATTACGTTGCTGCAACCCTTTCTGAAGCTAAATAAAAGTAGTTGATACTCAGAAAGACACTATCTCTTTCTAAATAGGAGTTTGGCTGGGTAGTCGTCTCCCTAACCATGATATACAGAGTAACAATTTGGAAAACACAAATATGGCAAAATAGCCTGAATTTTAAAAGTATCAAAAGTATGTGTGACTGATTTTACCCTACTTTGAAGTGAGACACACCACAATCTTAAGATCTCAAACTCAGTGTGAGCATTACTTTTACTTTTT